GACTGGAGGAATGATGCTGAAAATACAGCTGCGCATCACAGAAAACATTACATATTACAATATATTCACATAGAAAACAGCTAAATATATATTACACAATTTTGACTATATTTGCTTAAATAAATGCAGCTTTGGTGAGCAGAATAGTAGAGTTTTTTTAATAACATTTAAAACTTTTGTACAGCAGTGTGAATGTATATCCTATTATTTCATATATATCAGTTATCCTGCTGTTTGTATTTGTTTCAGATACTCCCTGAGCAAAGAAGACGCTGATGACTATGTGTTATGTGATGTGATCGGCTGTATTGGAAACCAGTGCTGGAGGACCGAATGTGTTCGTGTGGTGGGAGACAATGAGAAGCCGCTGCTGTTACAATCGCTCTGGAAACCCAGAGAAGGATTCGCTCGACGCTTTGAGATCCAGCGCAAAGCCACTGTAGAAGAAAACAACTCTAAAGACCAGGACACTGTGACCGCTGGTATACCTCGACACGATTCCTCCTGCATAATCACATTTGCATTAAAGAAGTTTTTTACTGTCACGACTGAAACCAACCATTTTGACCAGTGACCGCTGGTATACCTCGACACGATTCCTCCTGCATAATCACATTTGCATTAAAGATGTTTTTTTACTGTCACGACTGAAACCAACCATTTTGACCGGTTTACTTTTTCCATCTTACTGTAGGTGCTTTTCGTTCCTGCCTACGGACAATTTTGTGCTTTTAGCAAGACAAGAAACCAGATATTTACTTCCACTGAGATAATGGTTCAATTTTGATATGCAGAAAGCCCTACCATTTTTATTTTATTTTAATTAGCCCTTGCCAAACTGACAATAAAGTTAAGTTAAAGTAAAGCGGTTAAAGTTCAAGTTGTCGAAAGTTAAGTTAAAGTTGTATTAAATCGTTTGCAAGGTAGCACTGTATTTATATTCCTCCGAAGTTCTGGTTATGGTTGTTTTAAAGCCCAAACAATTAACACAAGTATTAATCTTCTGAAATTAAATTGGAAATTTGCTCATCAGTCATTTTGGTTTCTTGAACCGGAAAACCTGCTATTGAATTTAACCTACAATTTTGATTTGGTGTATTCTATATTTGCATACTTACTGAATTGCAATTTGCTGTCTTTCTTACAACAATTTGCATATATACTGTGATTGGTCTCGCATATAAATAAATGATTAGTTCAACCCAAAATGAAAATTTGCTGAAAATTTACACACCCTCAGGAGAGTTTCTGATTTGGAGAAATGTAGCATTGCATCACTTTCTCACCAATGGATCCTCTGCAGTGAATGGGTGCCGTCAGCTGATAAAAACATCACAATAATCCACACTAACTTTTTTAATCTAAAATATGAGTTCCTAATCCATAATAACGCGTCCTCCAGTGAAAAAGTCCATCTTCTGTTGTCTCTCACATCAAAATCCAGCCACATATTTGTTTAGAGCGGTTTTGGCTTGTAAACGGTGCAGATTTCTCTCCTGATTCAGACCTGATTTTATTGTGGATTAGGGATTAGGGTATTTTAGTTAAAAATGTCTTGATGATGGATTAGTTTCTTACAAACACACTGCTTTTGTCTTCTCAAGACGTTAACTGATGGACTGGAGTGGTGTGGAATATTGTGATGTTTTTATCAGCTGTTTGGACTCTCATTCTGACGGCACCCATTCACTGCAGAGCATCCATTGCTGAGACACTGATGCAATGCTAAATTTTTCCAAATCTGAAGAAGAAACAAACTCATCTACATCTTGGATGGCCTGAGGGTGAGTAAATTGTTGGATGAACTATTCCTTTAACACCTTATCCAGGTATAAACGCACAGGCACGTAAGCTGCAGAAGACGCGCTGCAGAGGGAAATCCGTGCCGCTGGATGTATGCGTGAGTGACGACGCCGTGGACGGCAGACACAATCTGTTTAAGAGTCTCAGTGACACGGATCTGACAGCTGAAGCTCAAAGCACCTGTACGGAGCGAACGCAGGAGGAGGATCCAGAGGCCGAGGCCGACAAAGCAACACAGTGTCCTGCTAATGAACGGGAGGAGACGGAGAGCAGCGATGACAGCGCCACACAGTATTCCATTCACCCGCCTCTGGACTTCCCGTACTTCCTGCTTCTGCAGGGCTTCAGTTACAGACAGGTAGGACAGACTCGCACTATATCTGTGCTGCTCCTCCCTCTCGCACACTTCACCGTGGCATCTGTATTCCTCCAGCCCATCAAACACATGCCACACTGTTTCTGGAATTCAGTGGCATGAAGTTGTTATCAGCGCAGCATATTTAAGTTGGCTTGAGAAAGTCAATTTACTGATCTACTGATTAACCTCCTAGAGCTTTCAAACTACAACCACCAAACTCAGGTCAGACCTTTAGACTGGTCTGAGTCAGGTTGCTATAGCTTTCTAACTGATTAAGATTTTCGTTAAAAGGATGAAAAAAACTACGAAAGTCCCATAGACTTCCAGTGAGGGGGTTAAAACTTTTGCCCAATAAGACTTATGTAGTGTTTAAGCTGTCTGACTATCATAGCATGCTAAATCATGCTAGAATCATACTAAAACATGTTAGAAAAGTACTAATCATGCTAACAACATGCTAATCATACTAAAACATGCTAGCAACATACTAATTATGTTAGAAACATGCTAGCAACATGCTAGTAACATGCTAATCATGCTAAAACATGCCAACCTGCTAATCATGCTAGAAACATGCTAGCAAACTGCTAATCATGCTAGAAACATGCAAGTAACATGCGAATCATGCCAACCTGCTAATCATGCTAGAAACATGCTAGCAACCTGCTAATCTTGCTAGAAACATGCTAGTAACATGCGAATCATGCCAACCTGCTAATCATGCTAGAAACATGCTAGCAACATGTTAATAATGCAAAACGTGATAGCAACATGCAAAGCATGCTACAAACATACTAGCAAAATGTTAAACATGCTAATCATGCTAGAAACATGCTAAAGATATATTGCTAATCATGCTAGAAACATATTAGCCAAATGCTAAAACATGCTAAAACATGCTAATCATGCTAGAAGCATGCTAACAACAAATGCTAATCATGCTAGAACCATGCTAACAACATGCTAATCATGCTAGAAACATGCTAAAGATATATTGCTAATCATGCTAGAAACATATTAGCCAAATGCTAAAACATGCTAAAACATGCTAATCATGCTAGAAGCATGCTAACAACAAATGCTAATCATGCTAGAACCATGCTAACAACATGCTAATCATGCTAGAAACATGCTAAAGATATATTGCTAATCATGCTAGAAACATATTAGCCAAATGCTAAAACATGCTAAAACATGCTAATCATGCTAGAAGCATGCTAACAACAAATGCTAATCATGCTAGAACCAAATGTTAAACATGCTAATCATGCTAGAAACATGCTAAAGATATATTGCTAATCATGCTAGAAACATATTAGCCAAATGCTAAAACATGCTAAAACATGCTAATCATGCTAGAAGCATGCTAACAACAAATGCTAATCATGCTACAACCATGCTAACAACATGGTAATCATGCTAGAAACATGCTAACAACATGTTAATAATGCAAAACTTGATAGCAACATGCAAAGCATTCTACAAACATACTAGCAAAATGTTAAACATGCTAATCATGCTAGAAACATGCTAAAGATATATTGCTAATCATGCTAGAAACATATTAGCCAAATGCTAAAACATGCTAAAACATGCTAATCATGCTAGAAGCATGCTAACAACAAATGCTAATCATGCTAGAACCATGCTAAAACATGTTACAAAAAGTGCTAATCATGCTAACAACATGCTAATCATACTAAAACATGCTAGCAACATGCTAATTATGTTAGAAACATGCTAGTAACATGCTAATCATGCTAAAACATGCCAACCTGCTAATCATGCTAGAAACATGCTAGCAAACTGCTAATCATGCTAGAAACATGCAAGTAACATACGAATCATGCCAACCTGCTAATCATGCTAGAAACATGCTAGCAACCTGCTAATCTTGCTAGAAACATGCTAGTAACATGCGAATCATGCCAACCTGCTAATCATGCTAGAAACATGCTAGCAACCTGCTAATCTTGCTAGAAACATGCTAGTAACATGCGAATCATGCCAACCTGCTAATCATGCTAGAAACATGCTAGCAACATGTTAATAATGCAAAACGTGATAGCAACATGCAAAGCATGCCACAAACATACTAGCAAAATGTTAAACATGCTAATCATGCTAGAAAAATGCTAAAGATATATTGCTAATCATGCTAGAAACATATTAGCCAAATGCTAAAACATGCTAAAACATGCCAACCTGCTAAGCATGCTAGAAACATGCTAGTAACATGCGAATCATGCCAACCTGCTAAGCATGCTAGAAACATGCTAGCAACATGCTAGTAACATGCGAATCATGCCAACCTGCTAAGCATGCTAGAAACATGCTAGCAACATGCTAGTAACATGCGAATCATGCCAACCTGCTAAGCATGCTAGAAACATGCTAGCAACATGCTAGTAACATGCGAATCATGCCAACCTGCTAAGCATGCTAGAAACATGCTAGCAACATGCTAGTAACATGCGAATCATGCCAACCTGCTAAGCATGCTAGAAACATGCTAGCAACATGCTAGTAACATGCGAATCATGCCAACCTGCTAAGCATGCTAGAAACATGCTAGCAACATGCTAGTAACATGCGAATCATGCCAACCTGCTAAGCATGCTAGAAACATGCTAGCAACATGCTAGTAACATGCGAATCATGCCAACCTGCTAAGCATGCTAGAAACATGCTAGCAACATGCTAGTAACATGCGAATCATGCCAACCTGCTAAGCATGCTAGAAACATGCTAGCAACATGCTAGTAACATGCGAATCATGCTAACCTGCTAATCATGCTAGAACCATGCTAACAACATGCTAATCATGCTAGAAAAATGCTAACAACATGTTAATCATGCTAGAAACATGCTAACAAAATGCTAATCATGCTAGAAACATGCTAACAACAAATGCTAATCATGCTAGAACCATGCTAACAACATGCTAATCATGCTAGAAACATGCTAACAACATGTTAATCATGCTAGAAACATGTTAATAACATGTTAGATCATTGCTAGTATATTGGCTGTTTATTAGTCCTTATGAAGCACATATTAATGCCTTATTCTGCATGACTGTATTTTAGAAGTTGCAATTACTTTTGCTATTTGTTGGAAGCTAAATCTATGGAAGCTTATTTCCTCCAATGAATAAAAAATAAAAAAGTGCAATAATTGCAACTTTTTCCCTCAGGTTTGTGTGATATAAACATGCAATTGTGAGAGAGAAAAAAATCCAAATTATACTTTTGATTTTTATTCTGTGGAGGAAACGGGCTTCCATAGAAATATAATTTAGAAGGAATATTATTATTTTATTCAATATCAGATTTAGCTCAAATGACTTTCTTTTACCTGCACTGAAAAATGGATGTGGAAACCGTTTCTAGTACAGTTGGCAATTAATTATAATATATAGCATTACATTTTTGTAGAAAGACTACTGAAATTGTATTTTGTTGTTTTAATAATGATTTGTTGTGCTTTGAAGAAGTACACTTTGTTTGATGTACTGACTAACATAATAAAGCACATGTAAAATCATTGATTATCATTTTAACTATTTAACATTAGATTAAAGTTAATATATTTAAATATACTAAATTACTAATTATCATTACATCAAATACATCATAAATGACAAATAATGACAAATAAATCATTCCGAATGTGTAATATTCTTGTACAAGTTTCAATTGCATTCCATTACATTCAAGTTTCAATAGAAATGACATTGAAGTTATTTTAGTTTATCATAAATTCTTGTCAGTGCATTCAGCAGTAAATTACATATAAAGATGTACTTATGTACTAAACACACTTATGTTCAGCTAATTGCATTTAATATTAATTATATAAACTATTTATATATATTATACATATATCATATTTATTTAGATATATTAAACTATCTTTTAATTATAAATAACATTTCTGAAAACATATTCTTTTAAAGTATATTATTTCCATAACTCTTTTTAAAAGTATAATAAAGAGTACTTGTTTTTCACAAGGGGTTTTGCACCACAATTCCAGCTTTTATAATAATTGGAGACTTCAGCATGATGTCTTATGTTTTTAGACATAAGCCAGTGATGTTAAACTACAGAATTACAGGGATTTTCTCATTTTGTTTGTCTTTGGAAAATAATTCAGTCGGTGATCAGAATTGACAATCTTACAATCACAAAGATTCACTCCCTTTACTCTGGATGATACAACACAGGTGACGTCAATGAACCATGGAAAAAAATGATCCCACGTCCCTTCGATTCCTTTGGAAAATAACAGAGTGTGCCAAACAGAGGGAAAATGGCATGAAAAATGAACACGTATGCAAAAACAGGCCTGGACAGGAAGTGGAGTGTCCAAAGGGTGGACACACTTCCTGTCAGATTAGCTGTGTGTGATGACAAGCGTAAACGATCAAACACACACGTGCGCACATACAGTATATACACTCTACACGTAAACGTCACATGTGTGTAATGACTGTTATTATACTCTCTGTCCATTCTAACAGATGCCAGCCTGTTCCTGGGAGTCAAACCTTGGCATTGATTGTGCCACGCTCTGCTATTCAAGAAACATGAATATTCAAACTGTGGACATTACTATTAGTATTACTATACTGTAATCATTTAAAAAGTATAAATAATATTATATATATAAAAAAAACATATTTATGTTCTCAGTGAAACAATTTATTATTACCACATGAAATGGTACACTGTAAAAAAGTTTTCATTATTATTTATAATGTATTATTATTATTATTAAAAATGGCAATAATAATATTCTAAATGTTTTTGAAAAATAACATTTTTTACTTCATATGTATAATACTGAATAAAATGGTTCACTGTAAAAATGATTTCATTATTATTTATTACTATTATTTTGTATATTTTTCTGTTTATATATATATATATATATATGTATAAAAAATTGACTTAAAATCAGTTAATTTAAATCTGTATTTAAATAATACACTATAAAACGTTTATTTATACTCTATAAAATTATTTATAACATCTTAATAATAATTATAATAATAATCAAATTGTTTTCTGCATTCATTTCACATTTAACTCTGATTAACATTTTTCATTTTTACTTGATTTTCACTCAGTTTTCATTTTCCTTATCAGTAATAAAATTAAAGTGGTCCAAAAAGTGCAATAAAAGTATCACTGCAGGCTATAACTCTTTACATTTTTATTATTTATTTATTTACAGGTTTATTTTTAATCTACACATTTAAGACAACAATTAAACTTAAAGGAACACTCCACTATTTTTGAAAATAGGCTAATTTTCCAACTCCCCTAGAGTTAAACAGTTGAGTTTTACCGTTTTCGAATCCATTCGGCTGATCTCCGGGTCTGGCGGTAGCACTTTTAGCTGTAGCTTAGCATAGATCATTGAATCTGATTAGACCGTTAGCATCTCGCTCAAAAATGACCGAGGAGTTTCGATATTTTTCCTATTTAAAACTTGACTCTTCTGTAGTTCAAGTATCAAGGAACTTTGCTGCCGTACCATGGGTGCAGCAGGCGCAATGATATTACGCAGCGCCTGAAAATAGGCTTATTGGAAGTTACCTAGCTGGGGACTATTTTCAGGCGCTGTGTAATATCATTGCGCCTGCTGCACCTGGAATGAGAGTATAGTTCCTAGCCATATCGGCCTAGAAAATCGCAACTTTTCATTTTCCGTCAGTCTTAGTACACGATGTAACTACAGAAGAGTCAAGTTTTAAATAGGAGAAATATAGAAACTCTTTGGTCATTTTTCAGTGAGATGCTAACGGTCTAATCAGATTCAATGATCTATGCTAAGCTACAGCTAAAAGTGCTACCGCCAGACCCGGAGATCGGCCGAATGGATTCGAAAACGGTAAAACTCAACTGTGGAGTGTTCCTTTAAGATTTCAGTTTTAGTGGGTTGACACTTTTCTAATGCATGACAAAGACTGAGGATTGTTTACTTGTTTGTGGTTTGTTCAGTTGTGGATTCCTGAAATAACATTTGTGACCCTGGACCACAAAAGCAGTCTTAAGTCACTGGGGTATATTTGTAGCAATAGCTTTTTTTGCCAAAAATCATTAGGATATTAAGTAAAGATCATGTTCCATGAAGATATTTTGTAAATTTCCTACTGTAAATATATCAAAACTTAATGTTTGATTAGTAATATGCATTGCTAAGGACTTCATTTGGACAACTTTAAAGGCGATTTTCTCAATATTTAGATTTTTTTGCACCCTCAGATTCCAGATTTTCAAATAGTTGTATCTCGGCCAAATATTGTCCGATCCTAACAAATCATACATCAATGGAAAGCTTATTTATTCAGCTTTCACATCATCTATAAATCTCAATTTCGAAAAATTGACACTTAAGACTGGTTTTGTGCTCCAGGGTCACATATATTACAGTTAGACAAGTGGATCAGAGTCCAAATGATTATAGTTTGTTGTCATGTTGACATACTAAGAATATTAAGATCTTCCCAAAACATCTAGAACTTTATAACTCATGCAGTGATTGTGTTTCATTCCCTCCTCAGGATTTTGTCATCTATGCCCTGATCAATAGCTGCACAGTATTCGGACGCCACGTTGAACAACCTCACAGTGAGACTGAGAGTGATGGCGATCGCATGAATCTCTGGGCTCCTGATCTTCTGCCCGATCACTGCAGCGTCACTCGGGCCTCCGCGGCCGGACGGTCCGGGACCGAGACCCGACTGAAACCCCTCAACAGAGCTAAGGTCAAGAGGAACGGAGCCGTCATCAAGCACGAGGTGGAGCTACAGTCAGGAGACGTCATCGCACTGGGCGATCATTACCTCTTCATGTATAAAGACCCCACCTGTCCGAAGGTCGTGACCCCTGCAGAAGTGGCTCAGATGAGCAGACGGCCTCCTCTCTGTAAATCGTGCGTGAGAGTGAGAGCCTGCTTCAGAGACGTGGATGGAGCAGAGCTGCTTCTGCCGTATGACGTGGAGCATGAGTCCATGGTCCTGAAGGAGATCTTCAGCGTGGTGGAGCGGGATCCGGCCGCACACAAACTGACCGCGGCCTTCCTGCTGTGTTTGTGTCTCCAGCAGTCCGCCGCTCACTTCTCAATGCCGGCTCTCCGACGGCTGCTGCTACAGATGGCCAGCGAGCTGCAGACCATCGTATGGGTGAGTTTACTGAGTCATTTCATTTCAAACGATTGTTTGTCTTTCGGCCAGTGTTCGGATTTACCATGATGTTGAGAGGAAATGCAACCACAATATAACCAGAATATAATTAAAGGGACGGTTCACCCAAAAATGAACATTCTGTTATGATTTATTCACCCGTGTTGTTCCAAAATTTTATAAGTTTCTTTTTTCTGTTGAACACAAAAAATATATTCTGAAGAATGTTGGTAACCACACAGCTGAAGTCAATGGCTACCAACAACTGTTTGGTTCTTCAAAAAATCTTCTTCTGTGTTCAACAGAAGAAAGAACTGAATAAATGTATATCTACTGAATATATTTTTAGACAAAGCTCTTGTTAATGATTTTCAGTTTTGTTCAAGGTAATTGATTCAATAATTTTTCAATAACTGAAGAATATGTAAAAGCATGAAAATTAGCCCATAAATTACTCACCCTCGAAGCATCCTAGGTGTATATGACTTTCTTCTTTCAGACAAATCCAATCGGAGTTATATTAAAAATTGTCCTGGCTCTTCCCAGCTTTATAATGGCACTGGGTGGGTGTTTTTGTTCAGCAGTCCAAAAGAAGTGGAATAAAGCGCATGCATCCATAATAAAAGGTGCCTCACACGGTTAATAAAGGCCTCCTGTAGCGAATCGATGCATTTTTGTTCGAAAAATATCCATACCATTCACCCCCCGGAGCTGTGTGAGGCACGTTTTATTATGGATTATTTTTCGACTGTAGTTGTGATTACTTCCTAAATCAAAAACAAATCAGTTCAGTGAATAATTCAATGACTCACTCATAAAGACAGGCACTTGTTTCATTCCTGACTGAATCAACGCTTTGAAAGAATCAGTTGAGTGACTGACTCACTCACTCGTAAAGACTCGCTCGCCGCCACCTACTGGTGTAATGATGTAACATGCAGACGGAGTCCAGCATATTAAAGTGATAGTCCAGGCAAAAAATTCTGATTCTGCAAATTGAAAATTCGGAAAATGACTTTCTCTCTTGTTATTACAAACCTGAGTTTTTTTCTTCTGTGAAATTAATTGAAGAGTGTTTCATTTCCCATTGACTTCCATAGTATTGACATAAAATACAATGGAAGCCAATGGGAACCGAAACAGTTTTCTTACAGTACCAACATTATACTAAATATACTCTTTTGGGTTCGGCAAAAGAAATAAAGTCAAATGGGCTTTGAATGACATGAGGGTGAGCAAATGATCACAGATGAACTATCACTTTGAATTCAAGCACTGTAACAAATAGTCAAGCGAAATGACTTTTTATGGTGCTTTTACATCCTTTAAGAAACTTAAATGCTTGTAACTGCATGGAAAACAGAGTTCAGATGTTCTGTGTAATATAGAAAGTATGGATTTGAGCAACACGAGTGTCAGTGAATGACAGCATTTGAATAGACATTTCATTAGACATTTTTAGTCCTCCGTGTTTTGCATTGTAACTGTACTGCATCTTTTTTAATACTTTAATACAGGAAAAGGCAAAGGAACTCGCAGCTTTGCAGCCTGAAATGTAAGATCAGGAACTCATTCCTCATCATTTCGTAACCAGAGGAATTAAAATTCAATATCTTAGACTCGGCGTACATTAAAACCAGATTTTCCTCGCTCTCCTGACGCAAGCAGAAGTGAGTCAGACACGGCAGACTGGCCTTCTGGTGCTGACAGACTGATCCGGGGTCTGGAGCCGCTGGTCCTCTGGATGTCCAACTCTGTCCAGATCCTTCACTTCATCCACCAGGAGGTTCCTCGTCTGCTGCACGGAGTCTCTCAGGAGGAGGAGGAGGAGGAGGAAGACTGCATTGGTAAATCAGTCAGTGCTGATGTGAATAATGTGATGTATGTGTTCAGATTCAGTATCTTTGCGTGTCTGTGGTTATATTCCAGCGGTGCTGGAGCTGCGGCTCTCCTCCGTGCGCTCGGCCAGCGAGGAGGCCATGACGGTCCTGGAGGAGGTCCTGATGTTCACCTTCCAGCAATGTGTCTACTATCTCACCAAGGTCAGGCCCTCTGCATGCTTCATCCAAAAATGATCATTCTGTCATCAGTTATTCAAACTGTTATGGACTGTTATGTAACTGTTATGTTATGGAAAAAAGATTTCTTTCAGTTTTAGCTATTTTTTGTACATTAGTTAAAAAATTTTTTTTACATTTTAGTTAAAGTTTTGGAATTTTTTTGTGAGTTTTTGACATTTTTACTAGTTTTTTTTTTCAGTTTCAGTTATTTTAATACATCAATTTAACAATTGACATATTTAAACATCAATTTATACATAAGCAGTACTTGTGACCAGTAGTATTTTAGTATTATTGGGATACTTTTTTATTCTTCTTAACTTTAGTGAAACTTGTAGTGTTTTTGTTGTATGCATTTTGGATTTTTTTTAAATGTCTATAGAATTTTAAAATTTATTTTAGTTTTAGTTATTTTAGTACATCAATTTAACACAAAGAACCAGAAAGAAGATACATTAGTAGTACTTGTAACCAATTTTATTTTAGTATGATTGAGATACTATTCAAATTTGTATTAATATTTTAATTTATTTTTTTATTTTACTTTTAGTTAAAGGGTTAGTTTAAACCCTTTAAACCCTAACTCTTTAAAGTTTTAGTAATTTTGTAGTGTTTGTTATTATTATTTTATATGTATTTTTTAATGTAATAATAAATATGTAATTGTTATTTATTTTTATTTCAGTTTTAGTTATTTTGGTACATCAGTTTAACACAAAGGAAGATACAAGCTTGAGACCAGTGTTATTTTAGTATAATTGAGATTTTTATAATTTGATCATTTATTTTTCATTAATATTTTGAATTTTATTTTTTATATTTTCATGTTTTCATTTGAACTTTGTGATTTTTATGTATACTTTATATATAATATAATATAAATAGTCTATAATTTTTATTCATTGTCATTTCAGTTTTAGTTATTAGTTACTACATCTGTTTAGATTAAATTCTCGGCAGTATATTAAATATACAAGTGCAGACAAAAGTCACAACAAAAGGAATTGTTGATCGGATTGTTGATTGGATGTTGAGATGTGGGCGTGGCTCTCAAGCGAGTATGCAAATGAGGCGTGAGCTTGCGGAGGCGGAGCTTAAGAACCCTGTATACTTGGAGAAATCCTGAATTTGTCCCCAGAGAGAAGACTGAGGTTTCACTGGAAGTGAAATAAAAAAGAAAAATATGCACAGATAAACCGTTCACAATAAGATCTATAATATGCATTTAGAAAATAGATTTATCTACAATATCCATAGATGTATGTGCTGAAATGTGGCACAATGTTTGAGTGAATTCAGTGTCAATGCAGTGAAATGGGGTCAAAATCTCTCTTTACACCACAAAACCATATACGTTACGTATACTCAACTTGATGGAAACACAGATTGTGCTTAAGAAAAGCTCTAGCTTTAGCTCGTGAGCCGGGTTGAATGATGAATAGCACAGGTTAGCAGCCCAGAGAAACTGTGGCTTTGTGAACTGCAGCGCTGATGTCAAGTGCTTCCAGATGTCTTTGCTGCATCTGACCTCTTTGGCTCGTGGACGTGAATGAATGAATCTAGTGTATCATACAGTATATATACGTGTATGGGATCTTCATATCATTTTCACTAGTGGCTTCTTACTGTATGTGCCTTTGTTACATTTGCAGATGTTTTTTGTTCATATTTAGAATTTTAGTTACATTTTTAGTAGTGTTCTTTGGTTATTTTTACTATTATTCGTTTATTTGATCTCTTTTTTTAATATGCCTATATCGTTATTTTTATTACATTTTCAGTTATCTTAGTATACCAATTTAAGCTAAATGAAAATGAGATACGTAGCCCGGTCAGCTAGTAATTAATTAGGCCTACTTAATTAAAATAAAATGTTTGTTTTTAAGCTTATTTTATAATTCTTATATTTTACCTTATTTTTTAAGGTTTTATTATATATTCTATTATATTTTACTAATAGTTTAAAAAAAATTAAAATAAAATGTATCACAGTTTCCACAAAAATATTCTGCAGCACAACCGTTTTTAATATTGATAATAATCAGAAATGTTATTATGATATTAGAATGATTTCTGAAGATCATGTGACACTGAAGACTGGAGTAATGATGCTGAAAATTCACAATAATAATTACATTTTACAACATATTCACATGTATAGAAAACAGTTATTTTAAATTGTAATATTTCGCAATTTTTACTGTGTTTTTGATGAAATAAATGCAGCATGAGCAGACGTCTTTCATCCTAACCCTATGACTTCAAGTCTTGAAGTGATTAAAAGTGTCCTCGGCTATATTTCATAAGCTGCAGAGATTCTGCTGAATAGCAACAGGTTCGTTTCTCACAGACTTTAATTCAGTGTTCAGACATCGTCGTTTGGCAAAGCTGGGATTTGGGATTGATTTGTATTCTGCATGGGAAAATCCTCCAATGTCTCGCCCCCTTTGGGAAATTATAATTCATCTTTGTTCTAAGAGATTGTTTGCCGTGGAAAGAGAGGCTGTTTATATGGGTGTGATTTGATTTAGAGCAATACAACGTCCAACATTTTGATGAGGCTTTTCTGTGGAAAAACTAAATTGGTTTGTTGGAATGTGAAGCGAATTCACGGCCGACGGTAAATGAAACAACAAGCTGGAGGCATTTCATTCGTCATCATGCAAACAAATTCAATCTCTGATGTTTAATGAGTTTGAATATATATAGAGAGGCCAAACCGAACATTTATTTAGTCATTAACCTCGACTAACTGGCTATCCTTGACTAATTGCATTCGTTATAAATATAATCATTTGAAGCGTGCAATAAAATAAATTCGTGGAAAATCGTGGGAAATTTCCTTGAAGACGTTTTTCATCCTAACATTTTGATTCTGAGAAACATTTTTATTGACATTTTTATTGATCGGCATTTATTGAGAGTGGAAATGATTAAGTCGTGTGGTTTGTATCGGTGGCACAAACCATCCGTTCTTCTGTAAATGACATCTGATACTTTAAAAGCTTGGCAAACGTCTCGTTCTGTTCTCACACGGTGCCAGCGCTCCATTATGAGCTCAATATTTTCAGTAGGAAAATTGAATCAAAAACAAACACGGCCGGTTGGAAAGCAAACTGATGTTTTACGGCTTCAATAACAGGCTGTGTTTTCTCTGTGGAGGTTTTGAGCCGCTTGTGCGTGATTGGATCTCTCTGAGAAGGAAACAGCTGCTGGACTTAAACTAATAAAACACATTTGTTGGTGATTCCCAGCGCTGGACACAACAGATTTCGTTTGCATTCAGTCTGTGTTTGCTGCAGAGAAACATTTTACATTCAATTCAAATTCATTCGAATAGCATTCTCATGCATATAATATTTCAGTAATCACTTCAGCTTTGCAATGAGCATCACAGAGAGGAGTGACAGAGAAAAAAGATGGAAGCAGGGTTGTTATCATTAACTAAAACTAAAACTGAAACTAAAAACCCATGAACTGAAATGAAAATAAAAAAGTATATATATATATATATATTAAATATGTTAGTTTCCAAGATTTCTCATTTTCATTTAGTTTATTTTGATGATGTACTAAAATAACTAAAACTAAAACTGAAATAAAAATGAATTAAGACATATATAGACGTATTTATAAAAAAAATAAAAAATGACAGAAACACTGCAAAAATACTTAAACTTGAACTAAAATATAAAAAATATATAAAATATTAAAATAAAAACGAATAAAAAATGTATTAAAAACTATCTGAATAATACTAAAATGACTCTGGATGGAAGATACATTACAAATAAAAACACTAAACTAAAATTGTACAAATATTAATAAAAACTATAAAATAGCCCTGAATAGAAGATGCAATACAAATACTTAAAATAAAATATAACAATTTTCATAAAACTTTTCATGTGCAGTTTTTTCAGATTAGGGTTGCCAAACAATTAGAAACAAACCTGGTCAAAAATGTTTTCAATATATGCATGAATATAATGTTTTAATAAAACTGTTCCAAATCAGCTTTACAGGGAATATTGCCAAGTTACAGATGACAGTGACAAGGAAAAAGATGGAAGATGCAATGCGATGCAAAAAAACAGAAATAAAAATAATTTAAGTGAAATTAAACATTGTGCAGTTTTTTAGCTCTAAAAATTAGGGATGTCAAGCAATTAGATGGAAATGAATCAGCTAAAGTTAATAACTGGACTGTTATGAAATCTCATTGTGACCATTGAAAGCGTTTGCAGATGAATCTCCGTTTCAGTGGGAAGCAGTTTGGTTGTGTGTCAGTTTTTCCTTCATGGTTTTGGGTGGATATGTTCTGCTGTTTGGAGACGGAGCGGCCGGCGGCTGCCAAACTGGTGTCTCCCTGAGAATCCATACATCCAGCCGTCTGCACACAATTACACAGAACAAAGACAGCTTTGTGTTATTGTGATGTGTGGCACATTGAGATGGAGCACGTGGGCTGAACGTCTTCAACACAGACTCTCTTTCAGTCATTCCCCGCCTGCATATGCAGTCACATACACGCTTACTGCTCAAATATAGAGAGCTGTTAGCAACAGAGATGTCAGAGAATGGCAAACACATGTGCTTTATCTCTCTCCAGACAGCCAGCAGCTTTATTCCAGTCGTTTTGGGTCTGTTTTAGGCTCTTAAAGCATGAAGGATTGCAGGAAGGATGCGAGATGAACGGTCATTCGGTCAGTGAGTGTCGTAATCTTATCGCAGACGAGAGCGAGGTCGTGGTCTGTCTGAGGAAGTTCAGTCTGTTCTGTTGATGATAAGATGTATATGGACTGTCTTGTGTTTTAGAAATGGCCAGGAATGAACTTTGAAAGTGGCACGACCTAAACAGTGAATTATATAATGATTTTCATTCAGGTTAACCTGATGCACTAAAATAACTATACAATTAATAATCAGTTATTACTTAAAATATATAGAAAATAAATATTAAAGATAAAAATCAATAAATAACAAAAATCTTAAAATTAAAAAATGTTTCAAAATAAGGTTTTATTTTAAACATGTGTTCATAGTATTTTTTATAAATTAAGTGAATTAAGTGCAGCTAGAGTTTATATTTTCATGCATATGAAATGTTAAAATGAAATATAAATATAATATATACAAAGAAGAGATTAAATATATAGTGTTTTATTAAATTTAAAAAATATATAATTGTAATATAGCTCACCCAAAAATGAAAATCTGCTGTTAATTTATTGGTACATTTTTGAATGAACTAACCCTTAAGAATGAGAAATGTTGCTTTGGCCACTAGCTGAATTATTTATTTATTTATTTGAGTTTTCTTTTTTTGTGGTTCTAGTTTGCTATAGCATTGCATTATTATGAATTCTGAGGGTTACTGTAGGAAGGTTAAGGTCAGCAGTTGTTCTGTATGGATGCTGTTGATCAGAATGGAGCGATCAGCATCAGCATCAGGAGCGGTGTGTCCTCCTGGGCTCATGTGTGTGTGTGTGTTTGGTCAGATGCTGTACCCGCTTCTCCCCGGCATTCTGGACAGTCATGCGTTCTCCGACAGCGGGCAGCTGCAGGTGTCGTCGCAGGTCAGACGCGTGCTGGACGTCTGCAGTCAGAGTCTGCGTCTGCTCCAATAAATATTAAAGATAAAAATCAATAAATAACAAAAATCTTAAAATTAAAAAATGTTTCAAAATAAGGTTTTATTTTAAACATGTGTTCATAGTATTTTTTATAAATTAAGTGAATTAAGTGCAGCTAGAGTTTATATTTTCATGCATATGAAATGTTAAAATGAAATATAAATAAAATATATACAAAGAAGAGATTAAATACATTATCTGGCCTTTATTTGGCATCGTATAAAAAGTTTTAAAATGACTGCACATTATTAAAATATTATCTGAAAATATTCACTAAGAGAATCTTTCATCTCAATATTAGAGCACTATTTGACATATAAATATGGTGATACACATTTTTGATATTGATTCAAATTAGTTTGAATATATTTTTCACACAATAAAAATCAGCAAAAAGGAGACAGTTAGGGGACAAAATCAGCTAGACAGAAAAGAAATCAAATCAAAAATTTAATTAAATTAACTATAAAAAAATAAAAAACTATATGCTATTAAAATGTGAGATTATTTATAAATTCGATAGAAATTAGATGAAAATCCTTTTGACCACTTTGACATGCCATCGCTGCTAATGTTCATTGTTCTTTTAGGATCACTGAGATATGTTTATAGGTTTGATTATTATTTTATATCAGTTTTTTATTGTTATATTTTCCATTTTCATTTTTAATTAAATATTTAGTAGTTTTTGTTGTCATTTGTCATTTTCAGTAGCCTTTGTCTATATACGTATATATATATATATATATATATATATATATATATATAGTGTTTTATTAAATTTACAAAATATATAATTGTAAATTATTAACATCTAAAATATATAGCTCACCCAAAAATGAAAATCTGCTGTTAATTTATTGGTACATTTGTGAATGAACTAACCCTTAAGAATGAGAAATGTTGCTTTGGCCACTAGCTGAATTATTTATTTATTTATTTGAGTTTTCTTTTTTTGTGGTACTAGTTTGCTATAGAATTGCATTATTATGAACTCTGAGGGTTACTGTAGGAAGGTTAAGGTCAGCAGTTGTTCTGTATGGATGCTGTTGATCAGAATGGAGCGATCAGCATCAGCATCAGGAGCGGTGTGTCCTCCTGGGCTCATGTGTGTGTGTGTGTTTGGTCAGATGCTGTACCCGCTTCTCCCCGGCGTTCTGGACAGTCATGCGTTCTCCGACAGCGGGCAGCTGCAGGTGTCGTCGCAGGTCAGACGCATGCTGGACGTCTGCAGTCAGAGTCTGCGTCTGCTCCGAGCGTTCGACGTGCATCCGGACATCAGCGCGCAGCTCTTCTCCTACCTCTTCTTCTTCATCAACGCTCTGCTCTTCAACCTGCTGATGGAGAGAGGTGAGTGAGTGCGTCAGCAGATGCGGCTGATCTTCAGGTGTTTCATTCATCTCATGCGACCGCTGCTCTCGTGTGAAGGGTCCGGAGGAGCCTTTTACTGCTGGGCCCGTGGAGTCCAGGTCAGGGCCAATCTGGATCTGCTGATGGACTGGGCTCACGGAGCCGGACTCGCAGATCTGGCTCACACTTACCTTCTCAAGCTCTCCTCGGCCGTCAATCTGCTGGCCACCCCGAAGGAAAACCTTCTGCAGGTCCTGCCAGAGTTCCCTCTCGTCTAAATTATTTTATTGTATTCATGCAGAAAAAGTCATTATTCCACTGAATCAACTAGATTACATCAATAAAACTTTAGAATTTAGATAAGGGACAAAGAGGAAGTGCATTAAATTGCATACCATTTATAATATATATATATATATATATATAATTTATAAATATATTATGTATGTATGTAAGTATATACCGTAATATACACACACACACACACACACAAATACATAATTTATATTATTTATAATTTTACAATCATAAAAACCAAACATAATTATACATTTATAAATATAAATATTACATGTATAAATATTTATTGTTTATGTGTGTGTATATATATATATATATAGTAATTTATGCTTTATTAACAGTATGTATATGCACACAAAATACATAATACACTTAATATATAATAGTGTTACATTATAACATTAATACAAGCACTATTTATTTACTGAAAATTATGTAAGTGTATATAATAGATAAATATATGAATATATAATTTATAAATTATAAACATAAATAAACATATATATATATATACATACATATAATTTATAAATTAAAAATATATATTAAAAACAAAATGTATTATTTAAGATTTTATTTTTTTATATACATTCACATAGAAAATATTTTGTTTCACTGAAGAACTTCTTAAGATAACAATTGCATTAACTTAAATATATTTACATATTTAAAATTGTGTGTGTGTGTATATATATATATATATATATGAAACATTAAACTAAATACATAAAAAAACATGTTATGATTTTTTTAAATGTAAGCAGTAGTAAGTTAGATGAAATGGATGTGTAAAAGTGTAGATATAATGAAAGAGAGGACATTTATTTCCATTAATGTTTAAAGCATAGCTATTTGTCCGCACCATCCTGATCATTCCTGTTTTATTACACATGCATTCCTCTCTCATCACAATCTCTTCAGACAGCAGGAGTTAGTGTGGAGCTCAGAAATAATTAACAGGAAGTATTACTCATTAAAGGATAAAGCTTCACGAACACAAAGACTCTCTCATGGTCATAGATGAAGATGCTGGATGAGCCACGTCTGTAAATGATCCTGACGGGACGTCCCACTAAAGACACACTAACTATAGCCTCATCAGAAATTATAGCCATAATTCAGAAATTAGGATCAGGTTTATCCCACCTCAGTTATCATTTCAATATTGTTGGTATTAAAATACTGGTTTTTATTTTCGATGACACTACAACCAAAAAAAATAAATAAAAATCTACATATTTTACAGTCATTAATTAGAATATTTTTATCATAAAATCTGTTGTATTATTTGATATTTAACTATGATATATCAAGTCTTATTTGTGATAAAGTGGGTTTTATATGCAGAAAATAATTTATATATTAATATCATATTATATTATATTAAAAATTAAATTGAAACCATAAAAAAACATTTTTGATACTTGAAATAAAATAAATGTAAAACATAAAACCTAAATAAAATATAAAAACTCTTTCAGCTAGCCAAAAATGAATGGATAATTATAATAATATTTGATATTTAACTATGATATATCAAGTCTTATTTGTGATAAAGTGGGTTTTATATGCAGAAAATAATTTATATATTAGTATCATATTATATTATATAAAAAAAATTAATTGAAACCATAAAATTTTTTTTTCGATACTTGAAATAAAATAAATGTAAAATATAAAACTAAATAAAACTAAAATTAAATATAAAAACTCTTTCAGCTAGCCAAAAATGAATGGAAAATATATATATATATAGCAAAAACACAACTATAATACTACAGTGTGTGTGTATATATATATATATATAATTAAAGATATATATATAATACTGGAAACAAGCAAAAGAAACATTTATATATTTAATAATAAAAAAAATTATGGCAACTATGACATGTCAAGTCTTATTTGTGATAAAGTCGTGCATTATATGCATAAAATCATGCTTTTCTGTAACTTCATATCTTAATTCTCTCAAAAGAATAATAAGAGATGCTATAGTAAAATGCAGTGTATTCACTATTACGTAGCTGTGTTAACTGCTTGAAATCACATGATTTCTAGTATTATTCGGGGTGGGAAACAGCTCCTGTGACGTGTGATGATGAGGTGTTTGTGTGTAGATGTCGTGGAAGGCTCTGCGGATGGAGTTCCCGTCTCTGAACGCGGCTCAGCTCCATCACATACTGAGAGAGTACGAGCCGCGGCGCTCCTGTCCCGCAGCGTGGACGCCTTCCGGCGACGAGGACGAGGCGCTCGCAACCGGTACATATTCACATAACACTTTAACAAGCCTGTAACGACATATACAAGTGCTTTCTGTGGAGGAGCGAACATGAACGCTAATGTTTCTGGCGTCTACAGCTGATATCCTGGAGAGCTTCGATCAGCATCCTCCTCTCATCCTCCCTGCCGACGGCTTCATACTGCAGCTGAGAAGAGCAATCAGTGAGACGCAGCTCATTACACAGCTGCACCGCTTCCAGAGATTCATCACAGACCCAGAGGCAGCCCCACATTCCCCACAGCCACCTCAGGTGCGAAGATTGATTTTTATTTTCATTAATGATATTTTATTCTGTTACACAACAAAATATTCATTTTTATTACGTTTGACCAATTAATGGCTCATTCAAAGCAGTTATTTGTGTGTGTGTGTGTGTGTGTGTGTGTGTGTGTGTTTGTAGGTGAGAGTGAGGAGAGTGAGATTAGAGAAGAAGATGTGTTTGTGCTGGAGCTGCAGAGAGCAGCGTGTGGTTTGGGTCTGATGCTGGCGGACGGAGAGGTGAGCGAATCTCTGAGATATTATGAGCTGTCATACACCCCCAAAACAAAATCAAGACTTTGTAAAAGAGCATAATAGGACCCCTTAAAGGGATAGTTTGCCTAAAAATGAACATTTGCTGTCAATTTACTCACCCTCAGGCCATCCAAGAAGTTTGTTTTTCTTCAGTAGAACAGTAAAGAAGATTTTTAGCTGAAAGCGTCGTCTTTAGTGATTCATCAAATGCAAGTCAATGGCTACCGTCATTTTGAAAATCAAAAAGCATATACAGGCGACACAAAATAAAAACCCATGGCTCCTGACGATATATTAGGGTCTTATGAAGTGAAACGATCGGTCTGTGCAAGAAACTGAACATTATTTACAACATTATTACCTGTATTCAGACATACGAACCAGAGTGATGTCCGGTTCACGAATGAATCATTCTTTTGAACCAGTTCTTTTTAGTGAACTAGTTGAACCAGTTCACCAAATTGGACCGAATCGTCCAAAACAGTTTGCGGCTCGAGCAGTACAGATCTCCTAGCGGTGTATCTGTTCCTGTGATGAATGAACTGATTCAGTTCGACTCGGACCGAAAATGAGTGAGCATGAGTGAATGAACCCGTGAACTGTGAACGAAAGGGCCAAATGAACGTTTTATGGGTTCTCATTATTTATGTAAAAAAGTGAGCAGATGAAGATTAGTTTATTCACTTTATGTAAATTAGACATGTAAAACATCCACATTTCACATCATTATTTGGTGCTTTAATAACATAATTGCGTATGCATTACATGATTACGTAAACAAACTAGTGAACTGAACCAGTTAATTGAAACAAACTGTCCAAAAGAACCAGTTCACGGAAAAGAAACTTATTTCCTGGTTTGCCTGAGGCTCTGGATTACAGGTAATAATGTTGTAAATAATGTTCAGTTTTTTGCACAGACCGATCGTTTCGCTTCATAAGACCACAATACTGTATATCGTCAGGAGCTGCAGGTTTTCTTTTTTGTAGCCTGTATATGCTTTTTTGAACTCTTAAAGTTACGGTTGCCATTGACTTGCATTTTATGAATCACCTACTGAAGAAAAAAAGTCACCTGCATCTTGGCTGGCCTGGGAGTGAGTAATTAACAGCAAATGGTCATTCTCAATTCAATTCGGACTTCTTTTTTTTCTTAGAATTGCACATTTTTATCTTGCCATTTTGAGTTTATATCTCACATTTTTTTACTTTTCATCATAAATACAGAAGAAAGCTGGAAATATATATATATGATTCATGGCAGAAATGGCCTTTCATAGATAATGTTTAAAAGCCTGTTTGAAAATTGCAATAGAAAGTTTATATGCTTATTTATATACTTGCAATATGTGAAATTCTATAAGCAGTCAGTTTAGTGTGATTATTAAAAATGAATCAACTGTGTTTAACCTGACACAGCATTTTAAAAGTGCAATATAAATGCAATAACAATATATTGACTTATTAGGCCATTTATGGTTGCATTCAGTCCTGTTCTCCTCTGCAAAACTCCTTTCTTTAAGTGATCTTCATTTGGAGACGTTTCCGAGCAAATATTGATATATGCAATTAATTGTTATTAATTATGTGAATTAGTTGGCATATCATGCAGTTGCTTCAATTACAGCCTTATTCTTGCAAATCGTTTCCATAAAGCATGGTAAGGTCATCACTATTAATATTATAGTTATTTTTTTTACAGCACAATAGCATCTCCATGTGGTTAAAAACTGAGTATTTTTTTTTAGATTGTATAAGAAACAAAGACGTTGTGGATATGTTTGCTGCAATACAGAATTACAAATACTTTGGAGCAATATTTCTGTGTTTTCCACAGGAAAGCCCATCGACTGTGAGTGGGATTTACATCAAATCGGTGCTTCCAGACTCTCCTGCCGCTTTATCCCAGAGGCTGAGAGCCGGCGACCGCATTCTAGCAGTGAATGGACGGAGTCTGGTGGGAGTCGACTATCAGACGTGAGGAGAATTACAGCAGAGATATAAAATGTCCTGCAGTTTCTTAAACATAAGCAGCAGGACTGACAGCTGTCTGTTGTGCATCATGCTATTTCACCGAAGCAAATTATGTTATTGATTATTGTGTATTAACCGAACAACATTTCTTGTTCTTCTTTTACCTTGCAGTGGCCGGGATCTCATTCAGATGTCAGGAGAAAGGCCTCGGCTGCTGGTTGCCAGATCTCACAGTGCTACGAAAGAAACAAGGACAAAAACTTCTTCATAAACCTAGTGTTTAAAAACTCTGCTTTTACCCTTAGATAGAGTGTGATGGACAAAACTAAATGACAAAAACAACATCTGGTTTTATATGTACAGGTTGCTTTTTGCCATTTTTAATTGTGTGATCTTTGCATTTTATGATTAAAAAATATGGAAATGATTAGAATAATTCATGTGTATGTTATGTGCTGTCAGAACGGACTGCTTTTTAATTTATTGCGTAATGTATAAAATAAATGGTTGGCTGCAGAGTTTTAGTTTGACTAACTAAAACATTTTAAATGCTATGCCATTCGTTTCTCATGATAAATTCAGAGATCGTTTTATACAGCCCTTTATTATACGTGCATAAAACAGTCCACATAGAAAACATAAAACATGCAATATATGCTGACAGCAGCACCGCTGGAAACAAAAGTTAATGTTTTTGAAAGAAGTCTCTTCTGCTCACCAAGGCTGCATTTATTTGGTCAGAAATAAAGTAAATATGTGACCTTGGAATTTCAAAATGTATACTATAGCTGAATAAATAATCTTTCCATTGATGTATGGTTTGTTATGATAGGACAATATTTGGCCGAGATACAACTATTTGAAAGTCTGGAATCTGAGGGTGCAAAAAAATCTAAATATTGAGAAAATCATCTTTAAAGTTGTTCAAATGAAGTTCTTAGCAATGCATATTACTAATCAAAAATGATTTTTTGATAAAAAAAAAAGTTTTGATATATTTACGATAGGAAATTTACAAAATATCTTCATGGAACATGATCTTTACTTAATATCCTAATGATTTTTGAAGAAAAATCAATAATGTTGACCCATACAATGTTTTATTGGCTATTGCTACAAATATCCCCCAGCGACTTAACACTGCTTTTGTGCTCCAGGGTCACATATTATGAAATATGATTACAATTTAAAATAGCTGTTTTCTCTGTGAATATATTGTGATCAAAACGGAATTTTCAGCATCATTACTCCAGTGTCACATGATCCTACAGAAATCATCCTAATATGCTGCTCAAGAAACATTTGTCAAAAAAGTCTGTGACTAAACTGACTGTACTTTGTGAATAATTTGATATATTATATAGAAGATTTTTGCAGCGAACAGCTAAGAAAACAACTGTGTGCACACTAAAGCACGGGAATACGTATCAGGAACATGACATTATTGCACAAATTGATACAAATGATAATGACATTAATTTGATTCCTTTACAACTTGACGAACAGTTAGTTGCGAAAGAGCCCGTTTACGATTTTGTGATTGCACACGAAGGTCCAACGCGAGAAGGAGGACTACATTTCACTGAGTTCTCGCGGCATTACAGAATCTACACCAGGGGCACGTTCAAGCTCAAACCGGTGCGCAACGTTTTGCTACGGTTTCTGGGTTGAACGACATGTTTCTTGTTTGGTGGGTGTGTCAAAAATGTCAGCCCAATCAGCAGCAGCTAGTGATGGGAAGTTCGGATCATTTTACCGACTCGGACATTTGAGTCTCGTTCAGCAAAATGAACGAATCTTTTTTCGAGTAATTTCGTTCATTTTAGCAAAATATAATTAAAATGTTACGTGTTACTTCCCTAACACGTCTACTACTTACGCAAACGTTGATCACACTACAAACAATACAAAATAGAGCATAGAGAAATTAGTTAATTTGCAAGCTTCCTTACAAACGGATGCATAGTTATTATCATTATTATTTACTCTTACAGTTACGTGATGCGTTTCTGGTCTCAAATTGTAGCTTTTTACTTCTTACAGTTTATAAATGTGTGAATATCTGTAATGATGGTTCTTTTCCATAGCACTGAATGTTGTAACAAAGATAATAAAGAGTTGGTTATTATTATTAAGTCTCTTTTCCGGCTCAAGCTTATGGGGCTGTCACGTGATGAACGAACGACTCGAAAAACCCGAAGACTCGAGAGATGATCGAGTTCTCGAGTTCTAATCAATTCTCTTTCCGGCTCAGACTGCATTGGTTAAGCTTATGGGGCTGTCACGTGATGAACAAACGACTCGAAAAACCTGAAGAAACAGGTGAACTACTTGAGTAATTCCAGTACAGAACCTATAGGATGTTGTGCATGCGCGACTGAACGAATCCCTCAAAAAATATTGACAATGTGTTATTTTGACGTGCAATTTCAGTTTTGTGTAATGTGATCATCGTGGATTATTATGTGCAAAATGTATCATTCATTAATTCATGCATGACGGTGATTTAAACCTACTTCACGTCAATAAAGATAACTATACATGCATTCTTGTCATGAGCATCAAGGTGTGGGGGCGCGGCGGTGCAAATTCCACTCATGTTTAGTACGTTAACTCAAAGATTCGTAGAACAAATATAAACCTTGGACTCTGTGGCTGATTCTGTGTTAAGGTAAGGCATGCTATTCACAATTCTGTGTTGTGGCTGGGTTGTTATAGGTCTGCGATGTCTTATGCCAAACTGAACGGAGGAATTATGTTTTTTTTGGTATTTTACGAGTAACTTTAACCGTTGTTCATGTGAACTCAAAGAAAGCCTGATGCTTTGTATATAGACTATTTGTGGGTGGCTGTTTGTTGTTTCACCTATCAATTCGTGTCGATAAAGTATAATAGGGTAAATCCTGTATAGTGATTTATACTATATAGTGCTTGCATAAAGCAAGTAGTGCATACACTTGTAGCTGTTATGTATCTTTGTAAGTCCCCACGCGCAAGCGCACAAACCCAAGTTCCAAGGCTCCCCCAAAGTCCATAGTGCAAATGAACTATAAAGTTCATCGGTGTGCTAGACACTGATTAATGTAACATAAAAATACTATACATATTTATATATTTTGCTATTGCATTGTGGAGTGACACTTTCATAAACTTTTCTATTCTCCTCCGATTATATAATGGTAAATATTACAATAACATAGCACAACAACAGTGATCAGCAACAATGATAAGCCGAATACTCACAATAAAAATAATAAGGACATATATATCATAACACGGAGGTAAGAAGTGGATTATCCTTCACCTGAAATGTTTGTCTTTTCATTCTGAAATGCGAGGCAAATGTTGGATCATAATCATTAGGAACCACAGTTATCACTGGATTGGGATGTTCTCTTTTATTCTGGAAGGCAAGGGCATCGAGCATATTTTGCAGTATTAAACACGTATTTATACCGATTTCATCAGGCTCCGAAAATTCTTCAAAAAGAACACAAAGAATGTGCTTCTCAGCTGCCAAAGCTGCAACTCTTGCGACATCAGAACAGAGTTCAATGCTCCGCCGTTTACGGTTAAAACACGTTTCGCACCGTTTTGTCGGAGTTGAACGCAGCCCAGCTGGGAGTTTTAGTTCGCTGTTTTAATTGTGCTGTGCTTCAGAAAATGACGGAGGCTGAGCTGTACTCGGTGTATAAAGGTGTGCACGTGCCGACGCATTTACACCCTCCAGAAAGCCTGAAATACTGCGAAGAGTTCACCTTCCGTCCAGACGACATCCTCATCGTCACTTACCCCAAATCCGGTGAGTCTTGACAGGTTTGTGCATTCAGTGGTGCAGATTATTGTAAAACAGTAACTCGGCAGATAGTAGCATAAACATGCAATTTGTGTATTTAACATAATAACATTTAACATGACATCAAAAACAAAACAAAAACGCTTTAGTTGCATCCTATTAGTTGCATTAACCAGTTAACTAATGATAAACAATGCATTTGTTACAGTATCTGTAAGTCTGTTAACATTACATGCAGGTAAACAAATTAAATATTTATATTTGGAGTGTTTTGTTTTTATTTTATTTTTTAGCTTTTTATCAGCTTAAAACCACTGCTGTTTGGGAAAATGTGGGGTAATGTTTAATGCATTTCATGATGTTGACATCAAAAATATCAATGTGTGGTGCATTTAACGGTACGTTTAAAATAAGTTAGGTAAAACTTTATCGAAAGTCATCTAAAAAGTAGTCAGAATAGATTACCTACAATGAGTAACCTACATTACTAACTACAGTTTTCATCATGTAATCCGTAATAAGTAACGGACTACAATTAGTAAGTAATCCACCCAGCAGGCCAGCACTGTCAATTAAAAATCTTTCTACTACAAAATTGTATGTTTAATTAAATGTGTTGCTTGCAGTTTCTTTGTAATTATTTGTGAATTAACCATTTTCTTAGTGAAAATAGTTTCTACACCAACATGCAACTTAGAAATGGCTGAAATGAACGCTTAATGCTTTAGAAGTATTCTTCATTAACTAATTCAGTTAACTAATATTAACAATTGGAACCTTATTTGTAAACTTTCTACACTGTAAACAATGATTGTGATTTTAACAGTAAACGACTGTAAAATGCTACAGTAAAAACATGTTAACTGGTTAGCAGTAAGTTTCCATATAATATATTCGGTGAATAAATGTAATTGCATTTAATGTGATTTTACAGTAAAATACTGTTAAAAATACGTTTTTTGGAAGTGAAAAAGAAAAAGTCATTGTATAATTTACAGTGACAAACCGTAAATTGACACTCTCAGAATTCCCTGCATGAAGCATCATATTTGATGTTTTTTTTGTTGAAATAACATGTTTCTTCTTAGGTTGTTCTTATCAGGTGTGTACATTAGAGTTTAATCTTTCATCTAATGTTGTTAAATGAATGTTTATTGCATTATTTCAGTATCATGTGTGTCACCGTGATGGGGTTTAGTGTTTGTGTGAATGGCACTGTGCACCTTCTATACGTCAGTATTGTCCTCCGCAGCTCGTAGAAAAGCTGTTTGTGATGAGCTTCGGTTCATCACGTGACTTTATCATCACCTGCTTTTGGTGGTTATCAGTGCATTACTATAGTTCAAAACAGATATTAGTACTTCCATATGTTGGTTTATTAACATTACATCATTTAATGAAATACGGTATTTTATTGTGAATGTAAGTTAAGTCTGTAAAACCTAAAATGTTCCTACCTTATTTTTTACGGTGAAGTTCTGGCAACCACAGCTGCCGGTATTTTACCGTAAATGTCACAGGTTTTTTTTACAGTGTAGATTTGAGTGTAAAAATACAATGTTATTCGGGAAGAAACTATAATTACCATCAAAGTTGACTCAATAACTGAAAGTTACTCTAACAAAACTATTGCTTGCAGAAAATGCAGTTGGGTTTTACGTTTAAGCTCAAATTAATGCAGAAAA